AAGTACAACTCAGTTACCCTATGAACAACAGATCTGAACCTTGTCTTATTCGGTGCCATCCTCACCATCTCTGACACCCTCAGGTTCACTGATGCAGTCACTGTGTCTTGTCAATCCACCTGGTTGAGGGTCTTCCTCTCCTTCAATGTCCACCTACTTTCCCAAGCATGATGGACCTCTCCAAGCGATCGCCTTTTCTAGCAAAATGCTCAAAGTACGTAAGATGACGTTTCATCATCTTTGCCTTCAAAGAGCACCCTGGTAGCACTTTTTCCAAGATATATGTATTTGTTCTTTTGGCAGTCCTTGGGGTATTGAGCACACTTCTTGAACACCACAATGCAAAAGCTCGAGTAATTCTTCTGTCATCCTTATTCACGTGTCTGTCATCCTTATTCATGTGTCCAGCTCTCAGATACATAGCAAGTGACTATAAAGATCATGGCCCGAATCAGGTGCACCTTAATCCTCAAACTGATATCATTGTTCTCAATGATTTGAAGAGGCCCATCTTGACAAGGAGTCAAATATTTTGACACTAGTAATACAATGTTTACCATTAAGCTGAAAGATCACACTTTTCAAATATAATTTACTTTTATCCAATCCCTCAACCCCATCCAATTATAAACTAATCTGTACTTTCAATATTTTCCATTGTTGCACTCTTCCTTCCTTCCCCCTCCCCTCCCCCAACTTATTCTGCAATGCATCTCTTGTTCCAGATTGTTGCCATACATATAATGCTTAATCATTCTTTCAGACAGTTCTTCCCTTCATTTATTCTAATTATTCCTTTTTCCCCCCTTGCTGTGTACAAATTTCTAATCAGATCCAACTGGTACAGGAGGAGATTGCCCCTCCTTCTCTAGCAGAGCATCTGGTGGATTCGAACCATGTGCCTTAGGGATTGTAGCACAGCTTCTTGCCACTAGGCCACTAGAGCTCCCTTCCCTCATTTGTTCTGAAAAGCAGTGTTTATTATCTATCCACTCTTTCTCATTTCCTCCCCAACCCCTCATGTCTGTCCTATTTTATAACAGCAATGTTTATCCTTTTGTGACTGATATTTCACTCAGCATAATGTCCTCCAGGTTCCCCCATGCTGTATAATATTTTATGAGTTGTTTTTCAATGCTGTGTGATAATCCATTGTGTCAATCAATGTACCATAGTTTTTCCTATCCATTCATTTGTTGATGGGCACATGAGTTGCTTCAATCTCTTTGCTATTGTGAATAATGCAGTGATAAACATGGTATGCATACATCTGCTGGAGTTGTGGCTCTAGTTTCTTTAGGAAATATTCCCAGTAGTGGAGTTGCTGGGTCAAACAGTATTTCTATTTCCAGCTTTTTGAGAAAGCACCAGACTGCGTTCCATAGTGATTTTACCACTTTACACTCCCACCAGCAGTGAATCCGAGTTCCAATCTCTCCACTATCTCACCAGCATGTTGTTTGCTGTTCTAATTTGTACTTTTGATCAAGTTAATGCTTTCCCAAGCTCTAAAAACTAATTAATGGTCTATATTATTTTAATGTTTGTCATTCATTCTTAGTTTTATTATTTCCATTCTGCTTTCACTTTCTTTAACTATAGGCCTTAAAGATTTTTTTTTTATTTCCACCTTTATCTCTAACATAGGCATTTAAAATACTTATCAGAAGGAATTGGCTGACATGGAGGAATTTCATGAAATAACATATGAGCAAGAGCCTATGGTGATGAAGGAGGAACTTCAAGTTGCTCTGAAGGAATTGGCAAAAAACAAGGCTCCAGGAGTTGACAGCTTACCAATTGATTTATTTCAACAAACAGACACTGCCCTGGATGTGCTCACTAAGTTGTGCCAAGAAATCTAGAAGACAGCCAGCTGGCCAACTGGAAAAGATCTATATTTGTTTCCATTCCAAAGAAAGGTGACCCAACAGAGTGTGGAAATTATCGAACAATATCATTAATATCACATACAAGCAAGATTCTGCTGAAAATTATCCAAAAACGACTGAAACAATATGTCAACAGAGAACTGCCAGATGTGCAGACTGGATTTAGAAGAGGTCGTGGTACTAGGGATATTATAGCTAATGTTAGACGAATCTTGGCAGAAAGCAGAGAATACCAAAAGAATGTCTATCTGTGCTTTATTGACTATGCAAAGGATTTTGACTGTGTGGATCACAAGCTATGGCCAACTCTGAGAAGAATGGGAATCCCGGAACATTTGATTGTGCTAATGCGAAAGCTATACTTGGACCAAGAGGCAGTGTCAGAACAGAGCAAGGAGATACTCTATGGTTCAAAATCAAGAAGGGGGTCTGTCAGGAATATATTTTGTCTCCATACCTTTTCAATCTGTATGCAGAACAGATCATCCAAGATGATGGGCTGTACAAGGAGGAATGTGGCATCTGGATTGGTGGAAGAATCATCAACAACCTGCATTATGTGGATGATACACCCTGCTTGCTGAAACTGAGGAGGACCTGAAGCGC